TAGGCAGTCATTAGTTTAGAAGCTGTAGTAGTAATTAGAAAATCCAAAAATCAAAATACCCTGCCTGTATACCAAATTTTATCAAAATCCGTTCAGTAGTTCAGCGTGATTGACGGACCCAGTCATCCAAAGAAAGAAACCTTCACATTTAAATACACCAATAATTAGTGTGATTGATTGCTTAAGATTTGTATTGTCTAACCTAGAAATGCCTGCCTGAGTATCATTCAGATATTCCTTACATCATTAATTTTCAATCTTATCTTCTATCCTCTCACAGGGTGCTACCTGGTACGTCTCTTCTACCTAGGTACGTGGCGCTGTGTCTGGGTCAGTGACTATGTTCCAGTAGACTCCAACGGAGCACCCCTGCTACCATTCTCCCCCCTTCTGACCCATCCGCCAGGGAAACCAGGGTCGAAGCAAGTACCTCCAGCTGTGATCTCTGGCGTGATATATTTGTGGCCATTATTACTGACTAAGGTGAGTTATGAGCTATCATAACTGCTAAGTTTTTGGTACTTTATTTTGTAACTTTGTAATCAAAACAGTACGCCTTTTATCCCTGAAGGACTAGGCAGAAGTGCACAACGGCACTTAATGACACTGTACAATGTAACAGCCACTTTCACTATTTGTATTGTGAGTCTCTTGTCCCCTATTACCATATACCGGGCCAAATTCGCCCTAAATGGGCATATAATATCTTACAGATTGGCGATACCTCTATATTAAAGAAGGGCCAAATTAAAATTACCCTAATCAACGAGCATGTATGAAAAGATTGGTGACTGTTGAGGAACGGAAAGAAGTATGTAAGAATCGTAACAATTGGCGATCCATAGTCTCTGCCTTATCCCCTTGGGACACAGGCGTGAGGTTATGTATACATATGTTATATAACTTCACACCTTTAAATCTAGAAGATAGGCAGAGTAATAACACAATGTAACACCGACTTTTCACCCCCTATATTATGGGTTCAGTTTTGTGTATTAGAGGGTGATGCTATACCGGAACATTTCCAGACACTGTGCTATTATTGAGAAGTTTTCTTAATAATATTCCCGACTTAGGAATCTAACATAAAACGTCTTGCTCAGCCACACTTGCACCATTCAACCGACGAACCATTCCACACTACTAACAGCAGTTACATAAAAACAACCTCAATAAATAAATATCGATACACGGAAATGAAACAAGAATTGGAAGTGAATCAGTTCATTTAATTAGCTACAGCATCCGTGAACACGTTCGTATTATTAATTTCTTTGAATTCTTCACCTGTGATACTTTGAGAACTACTTTTTAATGTTGGGGTGACTATTTTATCTATCTTTACTTTGGTGTGTGGTTTCGGTAGTGTATAAGATATTTCGTCACTTTGTTATCAGCTTTGATCTTTTGGCACTTGTCGTCAGTAGGGTTGCTATCTACAAAAGTCGGACTTGATACTGTAAAAGCTGGACAAACGGACCTAAAAGCCTAAAATATTATAACATCTTATAACATCACGTCTTTTATCAGAGGTAGTCTGTAGGCAGAGGTGCACATTACGGCACTTAATGCCTCTGTACATTGGAATACCCACTTTTCGCTATTTATGTTATAAGTCCCATGTAATAGGGGGTGAGCCTATTGCCATATACCGAGCATATTTCCAGACTCCATGCTACTACTGAGATTTTTATAAAAACCCAGTAATACTTTGTCCGGCCCGGGAATCGAACCCGAGGCCTCTTGCCGGGCAGTTGCTCTTCCGACCACTCGGTCAACGAGACAGTAAAAAATAAAGTCATTTTGTAGTAAACTGCCTCTTTGGCCGAGTGGTCGCAAGTGTTACTGCCGGGCAAGGGTTCTCGGGTTCGATTCCCGGGTCGGGCAAACTATTACTAGGTTTTAAAAACAATCTCAGTAGTAGCACGGAGTCTGGAATTATAAATAGTGAAAAGTGGGTGTTACATTGTCAGTGGCATAATGTGCACCTCTGCCTACTCCTTCGGGGATAAAAGGCGTGATGTTATATATGTGTTGTAGTAGTACCTACATATTGAAACGCAATAACATACATTTCCATAACAATTCCCTTACTTTCAAAAAGAATCACAATTATTTAATAGATTCTTACTTAAAAAATACGAATTACGAGTATCTACAAATTGTATCATCGAGTTATTCCGTACAATCGACCACAATAAACGTTGTGAAAGATTTACAAAACATTTCAGTTATTTTATTAAATCACCGCGAAATTATAACCTTTCTAACACAAAGAGAACGAGTAATAGGCTTATTGCTATTTTATTGTAGACTTGCTTTCCGCCTGTGGTTTTGCCCGCTTTGAGAAAAGGTCTCTCTCTATAAATTACCCAATATCGTTATTTTTGTTTCATATAAGAATATCAATCTCGTTAGACATTAACTCGTCGAGTACCGGTTTTGCAGACACAATTATAGAATAATAGGTTGCGGTCACCGGTGACCGCTTGGTGTTTGACAGTTTAAACGCTATGTTCGAATGTAATTGAAAAGTCAATAATGTTATGTAGTTATGATCTTTATAAGCGTTTGACAAAGTTGGTTTTTCCATGCCTTTCCACTCGCGTTTTAGTTTTTTTTTTTTTTGACCGGACAGAAACAGAAAGTGGTGAAATAAACACGTTTTCTAGTTCACCTACAGGTTCATTTTCCTGACATGAAATCACTTAAATGATAATATGTTAATCCCCTAAATAAAACTTTTTTCCGATGAATGCGTTGGCACGATTGGCGCGGCGGCTGGGCAACTGGCTGCTGCGGAACTTGTCGCGGGTTCGATCCCTGCAGGGAACAACTATTTGTGTAATCAACAGATTGTTGTTCTTGGCCTGGGTGTCATGTGTATGTGAACTTATATGTTTGTACGTTTACAAATACCCAGGACGCAGGAGAAAAACTTAGAATGGGGCAACGATTTTTTAAAAAGAGTATGATAGAATTTGTGAAAGAAGTTCATCCATCCAGAAGTTTAGTGCCGATTCAGCACAAAGAACCAGATCAATTGCCCTTTGTAATATTAAAGTCAAGTATAGACATTTTGTTACAACGGACTGACGAAAGGTGACCATTTTCCGCTTCGAAATACCGATTTATTATTTAACAAACATAACATAACATGTAATGTTATGTTATGTTTGTTAAAGGCGTAAGCCTTTTACCTCCGAAGGGGTAGGCAGAGGTGCACATTATGCCACTGTACAATGTAACACCCACATTTCACTATTTATGTTATGATTCCAATGTAATAGGGCGTTAGCCTATTTCCATATACCGGGCAAAATTCCAGACTCCGTGCTACTACTGAGAATTTTTTAAAACCCAATAATACTTTGCCCGACCCGGGAATCGAACCCAAGACCCCTTGCCCGGCAGTCGCACTTGCGACCACTCGGCCAACGAGGCAGTATTATTTTACAATCCCCATAAAGTTTTAAATTCAGTAGTCGCAGATACGATTGTTGAGTTAAAGGTTTCAAGTTCTATTCTTGGGGTCTACCCGACCCAAGAATACAACCTATGTAGAATAGAACATGTTGTTGTTATCATCAGTCAGAAATATAGACCTAGATATCTTGTTAGCACTTGAAACTACTGGACCACCGAAATAGTTATACATAACATCATCACATTCTACTTATGAGAATAATATAACACATATTTCTACTATAACCCCATGCCATAACGAACCAGACTATCGGGAAACCTGAGCATATTAAACCACCGTCTCATATACCAAAGCAAGCGCATCAACCATAACCTGTCAAAAATCTTCATTAGATTACCAACCTTAACATCAATAGCAATAAAGTCGAAAACCCTTTAAATTATATGTTAGATTTTAGGGTATTTCAAAGTGCGGCTGTCTGAAAAGTACTATGAATAACGTGCAAACATTTGCTATTGCCTCGTTCGTCTCACGACGAGACTTGTGTTTGTAACCGCTTCTTTATTGCGAAATAAATTGGAGATTTATTTCTCTAAACCACAACCTAGCTAGGTGGTTGGATAGCTAGGTAGCTAGGTAATTGAACTGTGATACCTTAGAATTCTTTATGAGAAAGCATTTGAATGGTGACAGAGGTATCCTACTGGATGCTTGTAATTTAAAGTATCTATTATAAATTAAGTCAATACCATAGGTCTGTTATATCCGAGCGTACGGCGCGTCGCATTCTGCGCGGGTCAAAGAGTCATCAGACCATCACGTATGAGCCCAATAGGGCTGATAGCGATACGGAGCCGCGGAGACGGGTTGCCGGGGCTCCGGTTCGAAACGCAGGAGTAAAAAGTAGAATGGTTTTTAGTCAGTTAAAGTCGGACAAGTCATTCGATGATATTCCCGCCTTAAAGAAAATGGGTATGTTATATGATTATCTATGTATTATGTATGTATCTATAATGGACACCCATCTTTTGCAGGTCTAGTTATGTTACGTGCAAAACCCTCTTTTATAGAGGAACTCCTTAAGCCAGTAGATTAAGATTTTGTTCTGAGTCCTATGTGTATGGAGCGAGCTTATTATCGATCAGTGCATAATTTCATTATTTATTCATTCTTTACCTAACTCGGACGAACGTTCTTGGTCGGTAAATGCAACCAATGTACTAATGAGGCATTCTCCAGGGATTTGATGCTGTTTTGTTTTTTTAATAAAATAGGTCGTTTAGCTAGTCTACGCAACAAAGTGTTATGTAAAGTTAAAAATTGTTAGGTATTAAAATGTTGAATTGTGGTTATTGATAGATTTTGTTTTGTTTATGTCTAATTTTCATAGTTACTGGACTAGATCTAGGCCGAATTTGTTGAACTAGATATTATTATATCATTTTAATGTGGCTATGATTCAATACAAACAAGTATAAATAAAGTAACTATTACCGATAGTTCTGAGTTTTTAATATAATCAATACAATGATAAATTCTACAATAAGTAACTTTTAGATTGCTTAAATTTTCGTTCTTTTTCTTTTCCCATTTACTTGCTTAGGCGCTAAAGACATCATCTGTCTAGCCCTACAATACACCATAACTATACTTATTACTCAAACAACGTTTAATTCTCAACTACATCAAAACGGTGACTCCAAACTACCGCCTACAACAATAAACATTCTCAGCACGGGAGCAACTAATTGCTAATCAAAATCAAACAGGCGCTGCTCAAGCTGGCTGCACCTGACGTGGGTACTTATACCGATGACCCTGGTTGCGTGCAAGATGATTCGCTGCATGACTTCAACATCATGCACGCGTTGACTGGCTGCGTCAATATTTCTTATGAAGTTGGTGGTAAGTTAAATGATGATATATATTTTAAATGGCTTCAAAAAAAGGATGAACTTAGTTCGACCTGTATGTATATTTGTGCACGATTAGTCACGATTGGCTACACTGATTTCGATGCGGTGTTCAAAAAAGTGTTTTCTACACTTAAGAGAAGGATTTATTATATATATTAATTAACCGGCTTAAAAAAGAGGGGGTTCAAGTCGTTTCTTCTAAACGTAGTTAAAAGAATTCAAATTGTAAAGTTTATTTATTTAAACAACAAAGAACTATAAATGTCGGCACAGTTGGCACAGTAACTGTTATCTTATAATCCGTGTAACGTGTAACCCGCAGAAGATGACGTTTAATGTTGCAAGTACCTGAATAGGTAATTGAATAATTAGTAATCTCTGATCCCACTTTTCCTACGAATGTCACATGAATCGACTAAGAAATTACATACGTATTTGACAGAGACAGACCTTTTAATCTATGGTCTCTGAACCTAACGGGTAACCGGGGCTCCGGCTCGACGTGCAGGAGAAGGAACGGGGTGGTTTTAGTCAGTAAGAGTCTGACACTCCCTCCCGCCTCACCCAGGCGGGTGCAGTCATTCGATGATTTTCCCCCCTTAAAATAAAAAAAAAAATCTATGGTCTCTAGCCTGCCATGTGTGGAGATACAATCTGTCCATAATCCACGTATGGCAGGCTAGCCATGCTGCTGCTCCAACCTGCCCTCTTAGGTAAATAAGCTCGTATTCCAACAGTGACCCCTTACAGGTTATTGAAGTATGTATATTAATGTAAATACCAAAGTTAAGAGCCATGCTTCGACACGAATGGGCCGACTCGACCGGAGTGATACCACGGCCTCACAGAAAACCGACGTGAAGCAACGCTTGTTCTGTATTTCATCGTATAACTGAACTTACCGGAGTCTCAAACAACCCCCTCCGTAATGTCCCCAATCCCCAACTTCCTAATCCCCAATGGTCGGTAACGTACTTCAACGTCAATAGTCACTGCCAATGGTAAGCAATCGGCGCCGCCTATAGATATAGGATAGCTTACCATCAGACTTATTCCATTCAAAATTCCAAAAATATTACTATGATGAACAAACGAGACTCCATGCTCTTCAACGAAGCAGTTTTATCTGAAGTTAGCTTATAACGTAATTCTTACACAGGTCCCGAAGACCTTTGGATAAGGATAACAACCGAAGTACCAATGTTCACTTGGGATGATGATGATGAGACGCTGGCTAGTACCATCAAGTCTAGGAGCACTAAGAAACCTACTACCAAGGATTTAAATGTGGTTAAGGTATGTCCTTTAAAAAAATTATCATTTAACTTGCAATGACTGTGTGAAATGGAATTTTGCTACTTAATTTTGAAGCAGGTATCTTCAACCGATTGAGCTGAAATTTTGTGTCATAACATCACGCCTTTTACCCCCGAAGGGATAGGCAGAGGTGCATATTTCGGCACTTAATGCCACTGTCCAATGTCCAACCTACTTTTCACTATCAATTTCCCTATTGCCATAATATACTGGGCGCAGTTCCAGATTCCGTGCTACTACTGAGATTGTTTTTAAATACTGAATTTTTTTTACTTGACACGGGATTCGAATCCGGTACCCTATTTCCGGCAGTCGCACTTGCGACCACTTGCCCAACGAGGCAGTCCATTTAGTAACACAATACCTTTTTTAAAATTAATTCATATTGTCCTCTAGCGAACTCGTGTAAGATAATATTTGAATGTTAAACCATCTTTGACTTTTTTATAAGACTAAAACCTCAAAAAACTGAATGCTTCAGCGTTTATTACGTCATTTGTATTTTTAACGTGTCCCGGGAGTCACATGTGTTGTCTGTAACGTAATCAACCCTGTAATATTCGTATTTTTCAGTTTTTCCAGGATATTGTCGTTTTTTCTCACTTTGGTATTAAAGCCGTCATGCTTCGGCCTTTTATTTTTAAGGGTGCCATTTTGTGAATAAGTATTTTTATTACATGTAATATGTGTTTACATAACTTTGTGACGTTATAATTTACCTGTCACAATATTATACATGAATGCCTATAACCTGACAAACACAATTTCAGACGCCCACGCGACTAACATCACAAATCAAAACTTCAAAACTCTCTTTGACTCGAGTGAACCACAGATTTTTTATCTCACTCAACTAACGACTATCACAGTCGTTCTATGATTAAAAGTTTTTTTTTTTTCAGAGAACCTGTGTGACGTACGTTATTCTCATGGACACCAAAGACTGCCCTCCGTACCAGCTCCCAGGGATAACGCCAGGACATGAAATGAGCCTGCTCGTCATGATGGCTAGGGATCTACCTCTGAAGAAACCTTTGCCAGAACCAGGTTGAGTGTCTTGGCTAAAATGTTTTAGTGAACTCTCTATAATATTAAAAATCCATACTCTAAATTATGCATTTTAGATGAGTTAGTACTAAAATTAATATCTATTGATCCAGTGGTCGCAAGCGTGACTACCTGCACGGCATGCTATTTAACTTTTGTGTCGAGTAAAGTTTGATTGGGTGATATAACAGTAACTTTGCCCTCTGCAGTTGAAAGATGGTAGGTACTCGTTAGTTTTCTAATTACAAGAAGTAGGTATATTAGTCATTTTATCGTTCTTCATTTTTAGTTTTTTCGTTGAGAAAACAAGTATCATCTATCCTGTACTCTTGGGGTGCGTCCACATCTGACGAATGCTTCGCAAAATCCGCAGTTCGTGAGCCGCTCTCAAGCAGTCCGCTAACTGCGCGCGTGCATTTAAAATTATTCTTTATACGAACCGCAGCTAGCTGGCAGCCCACAAACGACTCGCAAGCGGCACATTCGCCAGATGTGGATGCACCCTTAAATAAGCAGTTGTCTTTCCTATACCTACGTCCTACTTTTTTGGTTCCAGAGGTAGCCCCATGGAAATACTATCGTTGGGTCGATTGGGCTAAAAGACACGGTCTCTACGCCATGTACGACTGTCCTAGGACCAGGTTCGTTAAAGTTAATGGCCTATTGAAGCTCTCTTACGCTCCTCATCTGTTGGATGTTCAAAGCACTGAATCGGTAAGCTGAATACATTTAATTACCTAGATTGACTTGAAGGCCTAGTAAAGGTCGCAGGAAACCGCTGGGCATCAGAAGATGTTTTGTTATGTCTATACACACTTATGTTATGAGCTCAATTTGTAGTAACCATTGCATGGTGATATTATCAATATCAAGTTATACACTGTAATCTAATTTTCTGTTTGATTCTAGATCACGTTTGGGTTCATAGAAGAACACGCCACGGTAAGTATAATTTAATTATGCCCAACTAATGAAAGGCAACTTTAAGTTATACTTAAATATCATGCTATCTCTGTCATTTGACAAAGAGTTTGTGGTGACAGAACTATACTTAAAATTGAGTAGACTTTCATTATTCAGGCATTATTCATTTATAAATCTTAATCAATAGGTATATAGAATATTATCAGGCATTCTTTTGCTGACATTCATGCTACAGTAACAACTAGGTTTAGATTTAGTTTTTATTCCGCTGGCTTGTAGGAATGAATTTGCAGCATGCGTATGAAACTATCGTTTTTTTTCTTCTTCTCTTATAATATCTTCTGATTCACTTCGTTTCGGGAACCAAGACAGTTATTCATGTCACTGGGACGCGCCGGACTTCTATGTTCCGGTGTTTTCATGGTTGTATCTACTGTAGATCCTGGGTTACAAGAGTTGCAGTGGTTTTGAAGGTTGTGGCGGGCTTGTCCCATTAAAAAAAAGCATACGGTAGGCATCATCACCTTTCCACCCACAAGTATGTACTCATGCAGTAGAGACAACGGTGTTCCACACAACCCACGCAGAAAACCACTCGAACCACTCTCATGTAAATGGTTCGAATAGTTTGTTGAAATTGTACTAAAATTATATTTTTTCTATAAAAGGATGATATGAGTGATGGCAAGAAGAAAAAAGACAAGAAGAAGGAGCAGTTGAAGTCTGCACTGAATGCTGCTGCTGCACAAGCGCAGCATTTGAAAGAGGAACTTAGAGAATGGATTCAGTACTCAGAGGTCAGCTTTAGAAGTAATAAATCCCAGTACAGTTAGGTACTTTAATAATATGGGCAAAGTGGCGACTGCTAAGAGACTGTTCCTGGGTCGAGTTAAGATTTATTAGCA